TGAGACTCCGTCTCAAAACAAAAACAAAAACAAAAAACCCCACAACTCTACCCTCCACCATCCATCCATCCATCTTCCTTCCTTCCATCCACCCAGCCATCTATTCATATATCCATCTTCCTTCTATCCACCCTCCACCATCCATCCATCTACTCATCTTCCTTCCTTCCATTAATGCTCCACTATTCATCTGTCTGTCTGTCCATCTGTCCATCCATCCATCCATCCATCCATCTTCCTTTCATCTATCCATCCAATCTTCACTGAGGACCTGCTAAATGTGAAGCATTATAAGAAGTACCAAGATAAAGTTTGGTAAAAACAGAAAACCACTGATGACTGTGGAAGCTGGGTGATAGGTCTGTAGGTTTGTTATACAATTTCTCCCTGCTTTTACATATGTTTGAAATTTTCCATAAGAGGTTAAAGAGATGAGGTGTGAAAGGTGGGAACTAGGAGTTGCAGTCTTGGACACGCCTGCCACACAGAGGCAGTGGATGTGCAGCTCTTCCTGGGCTCCCCGAAGGCAGTGATCTTGGAGCCTGGGAGGCCCTGGCAGAACACAGCCACCCAGAGAGGCCTTGCAGATTTGAGGGCAGGAGGGAGGAAGGGAAAGGGAAGAGGGAGAGAATGAGAATGAACCTCAGGCCTGAGAACGGGCATGGGCTGGGGGCCTTCCTGGGTGTCTCCCAGCTCTGCCCGTTAGACAAGGCTCTCTGACACAGAACATTCTGGCTGCCTTTGGGTCTGTCAACTATTCACAGGCAGCAGCCTGCTGAGATGAGCTGCTAGCTGCCCAAAGATGTTTTGAGGAACTGGTGCCTAGCCTCACGTGAGCTGGCGTAGATCTGTTTTTATCCCAAACAGAATGGGCTCTATGAATGGCTGTGGGGGGCCAGGGAGCTCCCTGCAATTGCAAAAGCAAAACAAAACAAAACTGTGCACGGGGTGTGTGCTCTGTGCACTAGGTTCTCCTGTGCACTGTGGGTGTTCTGTGCACTGCGGGTGTTCCGTGCACTGCATGTGTTCCGTACACTGAGGGTGTTCCGTGCACTGCGGTGTTCCGTGCACTGCGTGTGGTCTGCTGTGTACTGTGTGCTCTGTTGGGAGGCTCTGGCAGAACACAAGCCACCCAGAGAGGCCTCAGATTTGAGGGCAGGAGGGAGGAAGGGAAAGTGGAAGAGGGAGAATGAGAATGAACCCAGGCCTGTAGAATGGCATGGGCTGGGGGCTCTCTGGTGTCTCTCAGCTCTGCCCTCGTTAGACAAGGCTCTCTGACACAGAACATTCTGGCTGCCTTTGGGTCTGTCAACTATTCACAGGCAGCAGCCGGAGATGAGCTGCTAGCTGCCTCCAAAGATGTTTTGAGGAACTGGTGCCTAGCCTCACGTGAGCTGGCGTAGATCTGTTTTTATCCCAAACAGAATGGGCTCTATGAATGGCTGTGGGGGCCAGGAGCTCTGCAATTGCAAAAGCAAACAAACAAAACTGTGCACGGTGTGTGCTCTGTGCACTAGGGTTCTCCTGTGCACTGTGGGTGTTCTGGGTGCACTGCGGGTGTCTCCTGCACTGCATGTGTTCCGTGACACTTGAGGGTGTGTTCCTGCACTGCGGTGTTCGTGCACTGCGTGTGGTCTGCTGTGTACTGTGTGCTCTGTGCACTAGGTTCTCCTGTGCACTGCGTATCGGCCCCAGTAATCATGGTATTCTGTAATTTCGCGGTTCTGCACTGCGGGTATTCTGTGCACTGCATGTTCTGTGCCCTGCAGGTGTTCCGTGCACTGTGGGTGTTCCATGACTCATGGTGTTCTGTGTACTGCGGTGTTCCGTGCACTGCGTGTGGTCTGCTGTGTACTGTGTGCTCTGTGCACTAGGTTATCCTGTGCACTGCGTGTGTCCTGTGCACTGCGGGTATTCCGTGCACGTGTTCTGTGCACCGTGTGTGTTCCGTGCACGGCGGGTGTTCTGTGCACTGTGGGTGTTCTGTGCACTGTGTGTGTTCTGATGTGTACTGTGTGCTCTCCTGTGGACTCTGTGTGTTCTGTGCACTGTGTGTTCTCCTGTGCACTGTATGTGTTCTCCTGTGCAGTGTGTGTTCTCCTGTGCAGTGTGTGTGTTCTGTGCAGTGTGTGTGTTCTGTGCAGTGTACTCCTGTGCAGTGTTTTCCTGTGCACTGTGTGTGTTCTCCTGTGCACTGTGCACTGCATTCTCCTGTGCGCTGTGTGTGCATGTGTTCTCCCAGCACCGGTGGTGTGCATGCCCTCCTGTGCACTGTGTGTGGGCAGAGCCTGTGCACTGTACGTGTTCTCCTGTGCAGTGTGTGTTCTCCTGTGCAGTGTGTGTTCTGTGCAGTGTGTGTATTCTGTGCAGTGTTCTCCTGTGCAAAGGGTTTTTCCTGTGCACTGTGTGGTTCTCCTGTGCACTGTGTGTATGCATGTTCTCCTGTGCACTGTGTGTGCGTGTTCTCCTGTGCACTGTGTGTACGTATTCTCCTGTGCACTGTGTACGTGTTCTCCTGTGCACTCTGTGCGTGTTCTCCTGTGCACTGCATATGTGTTCTCCTGTGGCAAGGCCCACCTGGCTTTCACAAGAATTTCAGTGATCTGTAACTCACAAACAGTTAAGAAACCGTGCCTTAGTGATAAATAAAACCCAGGGGCGGGGGTCACATTTGGCCTAAAGAGTAACGTGATGTGATGCGCGGCCTTGCTGGAGGGAGGGCTCCTTGGCCACAATAGTGAAATGGATTTGAACACTATTCCGAGACCCACCTCAGGAGTGCTAGTTCCTAGTGACTTGGGGATGACTGACATCTACAAACTCCTCTGGTGAGCCAAAGCCTCCTCGGATGTCACCTGAGCCTGTCCTCCCAGTGGCCTGTGCGGCAGGAATTCCTATCACCCCCTCTCCACACAAGAGAGAACCAGACAGCACAGGTGAGGGACACAGCTGGGACGGGTGCCACCGGATCCGAAAGGCTGCTGGAGTGATCCGGAACGGGTGATCCTAGCTTTTTGGGCCAAAAGCTAAGCAAAGACGGTAAGGCCCAGCAGGTTTCCGCAGGCCTGAGGGTCTGGGGACACTTGTGGTAAAGAACTCTGCCTGCAGGAAGGGCTGGCAGGCTGCCAAGATTGCAGTGATGGGCTTGCAAGCCACTCTGCTGCTTTCAGAATCAGCCCGGAGAACAAGAGGCATGAGACAGCTTCCACCATCCCACCGTCTGTCATGAGGCAACACGCCGTACGCAGAAGACAGAGAAGGGGCCTGGCACGAGTCTGGGAGACGAAAGGCAAGGAAGGCGAGGGACCTGTCTGCCAATCCGAGGACAGGGCAACTGCGGACACGTGCACACAGCACACAAAGACGTGTGAGCACATGCAGACGGGCCCTGATACACACAGAGATGCTCGTGCACACGCACACAGATGTGCCCTGATACAGACGCTCGTGCACACAGACGTGCCCTGATACACAGATGCTCGTGCACATGCACGCTAAATACTGATACAGGCGCTCGTGCACATGCACACACGTGCACTGATACAGAGGCACTTGTGCACACGCACACAGATGTGCCCCCCTGATACAGGCGGCTCATGCACACCCAGAGCGTGCCTGATACAGATGCTCGTGCATTACGCACTGCGTGCTGTTTAGGCAGCTTTCGTGCACATGCACACACACGTGCACTGATACAGAACTTATTACTGCACGCACACAGATGTGCCCTGATACACATACACACACAAACACCCACCTTCCTTACAAGCACAGTGATTGCCTTTATCTTTGTTCTCGTCCCACACACCCCAGACTCCTTCATCCCAAACTCCCCACAGGCTGGCTGGCTGATTCCAGCCTTCCCAGGTCTCTAATCTTAAAGATGACCACCTGATACAGAGACACTTGTGCACACGCACACAGATGTGCCCTGATACACATACACACACAAACACACCCACCTTCCTCCCACAAGCACAGTGATTGCCCCTTTATCTTTGTTCTCGTCCCACACACCCCAGACTCCTTCATCCCAAACTCCCCACAGGCTGGCTGGCTGATTCCAGCCTTCCCAGGTCTCTAATCTTAAAGATGACCACCATTACATAACCAGATGTTTAATGCTTTACAGAACAAACATGTTCTATACTGTGAAGTTCATTATGAACCTGAATCCCTGATCATTTAAAGCCTATTATTCAACTTATGCCTCAAGCAGCAGCATTTTTGTGTTCCACGATTTAACTTACTACACACACCTTGTGCAAAGTCACAAACCTTTTCATACATTTATGAGCTTCAGAATTTAACTGGGAAGTGCAGCACAGTCCTTTATCCCTCTGCATTGCATGGTGAGAAATGGCTAAAGCAACCATCGCCGCATTCTGTTTTGTGAGAGCAAAGGAACACCTACTCTTATCTGGGCCACTCGCCCTGGTCCTTAGGAGGATGCCGGATCCCCCTGGGATGATAATGGCAGAGGCTGCACAGCTTCCTGAAGATATAAGTACCACAGCACAGCCGGGCGCGGTGGCTCACGCCTGTAATCCCAGCACTTTGGGAGGCCGAGGCGGGCGGATCACGAGGTCAGGAGATTGAGACCATCCTGGCTAATACGGTGAAACCCCGTCTCTACTAAAAATACAAAAAATTAGCCAGGCATGGTGGTGCGTTCCTGTAGTCCCAGCTACTCGGAGGCTGAGGCAGGAGAATGGTGTGAACCCAGGAGGCGGAGCTTGCAGTGAGCCGAGATGGTGCCACTGCACTCCAGCCTGGGAGACAAAGTGAGACTCCGTCTCAAAAAAAAAAAAGTACCACAGCACCAGTCCCGGGCAGGGAGCCAGGTCAAGGGCAACGAGAAATCTTCTGGAGACAGCACAGCAACCCACCTATCTGTGTGCACCCGCACCCACAACCGTCTTGCACTGGGCGCGTGTCTCGCCCAAGGCAAGGGAAGCTGAGGCCTGGCCTCACAGCGGGGCCTGGCTGTGGGCCAAGAACACAGTGAACTTTGGCTTTACTTGGAAAACTCCTTCAGATATAGAACTCCCGGCCCCTCCTGAAAACAATCATTTTCTTAGCTGGGGCCCTGTGCTTTAGGAGAGGTTTACTGTCAGAGCTTGCTGTTCTTCTGAAACTGGGCCACTAGGCTGAGCACCTGCTCAGAGGCTTTGATGTTCTTGGAGCCGAGGTAGGAGGTGCTGTTGGGGCCCGTCTCCTCCAGGAAGTAGCGGTAGTTGGCCATGAGGCCGCAGGAGCCGGTGATGCCTTTAAGGCTCACATCCGCCATCCAGTTGATGCGCCACAGCACCGCCCCGTTCTGCAGGTGGAAGTTGGCCACGGGGTTCAGTGCGTAGCCGCGGTGCTTCTCTCCATACAGGTACCAGGCGCACAGCCTCATGAGCGGAGTCTGCAGCGCCCGCACCAGGGTCTCCGACTGCACCCACTCGCTGCTGCTGAGGAGGAGCTTGAGGGTCTCGTTAGTGGGGCCACCTGTGATCTCCGAGATTTCCTTACACTCCGAATCTGTGAAGAGTTCATTCCTCCCGTGATCCTTCACTTGTGAGTTCAGAAGCCCCAGAAGCCATTTGGTGAATCCAGGTATAGGTGACAGACTCGAAAACACTCCAAGGTGAGGAAACTCTCGCTGTAAAGCATGGTTGGGGTGGAAGGGAAGGCGGAGAAAACACACAAATTCAGCAGGTACATTACCAACAGATGAGCACCTCTCAACCTACGGCTCATATGCTGCTGTGTAGTGGCCACAGTGACATTTGGTACATGTTATTTATCTTCTTTCAAGGAACTGTTGGTTTTTTTTTCTTAGAGTCAGGGTCTTGCTCTATTGCCCTGGCTGGAGTGCAGTGGCGTCATCATGGCTCACTGCAGCCTCCATCTCCCGAGTCCAGGCCATCTCCTGCCTCGGCCTGCTGACTAGCTGGGACCACAGGCGCGCGCCACCAGGCCCAGCGGAAATATTTATCAGGAACCTGATGTGTGCCAGACCCTGGAGGCATCCTGACTCCCCGAGGCAGGGCGTCTCCGTCCCCATATCCCTTCTCATGTCGGCAAAACCGAGACTAGAGCGTTGGGGGACTTGTCTAAAAGCAGACAGCTGGCCAGTGGGGAGTGGGGCTTGGTGCACCGCAGCTACTCACTGCAGACCTTGTCTTTCTCGTACACCATGCTCCTCCCATGGCCACCTGTCAGGCCCCAGAAGCTGCTCTGCTGCTGGGCACACGAGTGGCCAGGGACTGATGGGTGAGCGACGAGCTGCCCAGTCACACCACAGTGGGTGCAGAACGGGGTAGAGGGGGAGGAGGGGGACGCTGTAGGTATCTCTCCATATCCCACGACACGGTTCAATCGTTATTGTCCCAACTAGGTAGAGATCTCATGATCATTTCCAACAACCCACTACTTTCTGATTATAAACTGAATACATGCTCACTACAGCTATTTTTAAAAAAATTAATGACAGAAGAAAATAAAACCATCATACTCCACTACGTTGACAAAACTACTCTCAATAGTCTGCTAAAGCAAACTCCTGGTGTTTCTTGATGTGATTTTTGCACGGGTGAGACACTTATTTTATATTTTGCATTATGAATTTATATCGTGAGCATTTTCTCATTATCATTTAAAATTCAAAAACACAGAATTTTAACCACAGAGTAACATGAAAAGAGAAGACTATTATGATTTTCCTCACCATGTTCCTCTCATTGGGCATTCGTGGTAGCTCCCGGGTTTTTTGCCTTTTTTTTTTTTTTTTTTTTTTGAGACAGTCTTGCTCTGCCACCCAGGCTGGAGTGCAATGGTGCAATCTCAGCTCACTGCAACCTCCGCCTCCTGGGTTCAAGTGATTTTCCTGCCTCAGCCTCCCGAGTAGCTGGGACTACAGGCATGTGCCACCATGCTTAATTTTTGTATTTTTAGTAGAGACGGGGTTTCACCACGTTGGCTAGGCTGGTCTCGAACTCCTGACCCCAAGTGATCCGCCTGCCTCAGCTGGGATTGCAGGCATGAGCCACTGCACCCACCTGTGTTTTGCTTTTGTAAACCCTGACGAGCGCCTCCATGCAAAGGGGCCATTTGTTCCCTTCTAGACCCCCTCTGGGGACTTCTAGGCAGCTGTGCAGGGGCAGGTAACTGGCACCCTCAGGACAGCGGCTGGGCTAAGGCCTAACTCCCCTGAATCCTGGGATAACCTCCTCCTCTTCCTGCCTTCCTTACCCTGCTACCTTTCCCCACCCCACCCTGCTCATCGCCACCCTCAGCGAAGACAGAGGAACGAGGAAACTGGGAAGGAGCTGTGGCTTATTGTTACCAGGGGAAACATGGCGGCGTGGTAATGAAGCCCATACGAAGCTGAATCCTGAGGGCTTCAATTTGAAACTGATCATGAATTTATTAGGAGCATGTAAACGTTCCCACTCTACACTGTCGTCCTCGAAGGGCTCTGCTGCAGCCAACTGCAGCCCCCAACGCAGAGAACACCCTGCTCAGAGCCACTCACTAGCAAACATCTAGCTACTGCACCTAATCATTAGATTCTACTCATTGGAATTTTTCCAAGCCCCTATGAGGTTGGTGGTTTTTGAAAGCCTAGGCCAAGAGTGAACATCAACATTTCTGATGTAGGATGGTGAACGCGTTTTTCACAGGGCAGCCAAGAAAGGGGAGTTAGATCAAAACTAAGCTGATGCATTTACCTTCGAGGTGTCTGGTCTCACCTCAGCACTCCCTCACAGCCATGAGAAGGCCCATGCTAACAGCACGTCACGTGTCAGAGGCCCTGAGAGTGTGGGCAGGGGCAGGGGGGAGGACAGGCATGGCAGGATGACCATCAGCTATGCCATCTGGCTGGGACACTTCAGAGTGACACTTACACCAGGACGACACATGAAATCAAGAGTATCCTGAGCAGGTCAGAATGAGGTCGCCCTAGAGAGAGCTGATGACCTCAGAACACAAGTGCATCTTGCAGGCGGCTGGGCCGGAGGCCTCTCTCAGCATCATCCTCATCTCTCTGGGAGACTCATGGCTCCTAGGAGTTGCTGAGGGGCCTCTGGCACTTTTTCTACTCCCTGACGCTCCCTTTAGCTTCTGTCTTCATCCATGTCCCTCGTGGCAGCTGACACCCCAAGAGTTCGCTGACCTGACCACAGGGAAGCCAAGCGTGACCGGGGCTCCCTGCGCGCCGCTTACCTGCAACTCCTTGACGACTCGCTTTATGAGGAATGTTCCCAGCTCCACCCCTTGGAGTCCCTGCTGGGTCAAACTGATGGAATAAAAGATCGCAGCAGCAATTCTGTTCTTCTCTTCCGTTTCTGATGGAGGACATTCCTTCACGATTGCCTGGAAAACACCAATGATGGTTCTAAGGTTGGCCTGGCCACTCTGCAGCCCACATGGCAACCCTGTCGCTGGGACCAGAAGACAATTCTCAGAGCACTGGAAGAGCTGGAAGAGACCTCAGCTCCCCGACTGGGGTGTAGGCTATGGAGCCTAAAAGCTGCCCTGTTTCGAAAACTCTCTAGAGGAGGCAACTCCACAGCTTCCCTGGCGGTCCTCAGTGCTGCATCGTTTCTACCATTTTGACATTTTCATGCAAACTTTGCTGAAGAGCAATGTATGCCCCTTTCTGTCTCTTTTAGGCCTCTGTGCAAACAAAAACTTGCTCCGTAACTCTCCTGCCAATACTCAGCGATAACACACAGATCCTCGAGACCAAACAGCTCCAGTTCCTTTGGCTTCTCCTAAAGGGCTGATGTTTCCTACCACTGAATTGCTTTTCTTCCTTTTCTCTGAACCCTAGGTTTTTCAAATTGCTCAAGAGGCCATATGCAGTCCTATATACTTTTCTTTTAGGAAATATACCTTTGTTTGACTTTTTCATGCCCCTTTTGGGTTTCATGCCATCTTGGTTTTTCCTAAATAGTAACACAGACATCCTGGCGAGGCATTCTAAGAAACGAGCTAGACTGGGAAGTCGCTTAGCTGAAATCTGAGTTTACTGCCTCTCATTCTGATGGCAGCATTTTCTAATCCCTAATACTCTGAAGCATAATCCTTAATACTCCAAAGCTCACTGGATAACAGTGGAATAGCAGGGGGCTACTTTTTCATTTGCTTTGAAGCAGGTTACACCAGCTTACTTTTGAAGAACCCATTTAAACTATTTTAACTTCTACCAGCTACCTTCGATTCTGGAAGTGGGAGTGTTTAGCTTAGACCACATAGATGAGGTCTGGTAGTCAGTCCAGGAACTTTCCAAAATAGTGTATGGAATGTGTGAGTCTATGCATATCTGTCCTGAGGAAAACACCCTCAGTGTTTTTCCCTTCAGATTCTTAACAGGATCAGTGACTCCTACAAAGTGAAGAAATGCTGCGGTAAGGAAATGGGGAGAGCTCATGACACGAAGGACACATCCTCTAAGGACCGAGAGGGGCCCGCTGTCCTGCACCGTGCTCTATGGAAGAGCTCTGTGGTTCACAGAACAGAGCTCACTTCACATCACTCCCGGGCTTATCTCCTTTCTCTTTTTTTTTTTTGAGACGGAGTCTTGCTCTGTCGCCCTGGCTGGAGTGCAGCAGCACGATCTTGGCTCAGTGCAACCTCTGTCTACTGACAAGTGATTCTTGTTTGTGCCTCAGACACCCAAGTAGCTGGGACTACCGGCGCACACCACTACACCCGGCTAATTTTTGTATTTTTAGTAGAGACGGGGTTTCACCATGTTGGCCAGGCTGGTCCGGAACTCCTGACCTCAGGTGATCCGGCTGCCTTGGCCTCCTGGAGTGCTGGGATTCCAGGGGTGAGCCGCCGCGCCCGGCTCTCCTTTGTTTTTTAAGAAGTCTGTAAGTTATCTTGTGATTCCTTATGCAAAAATCCCAGCAATCTTTTTTTAAAGTTTTCAAAATAAAAACAAAACTTTCTTCAGTTATACGAGTGAGGTATATGTAATGTCAAAGAGGCCAAAAAAATTGTAAGGCAAAGTGAATAAAACAAAAAGAGGCTAAAAAACAAAAACAAAAACAAAAACAAAAAGCCATGCATGAACAAAAAATAACAAATTACTCCAAAATCTAATCCCCATGCCTGTTGCTGCTGCCCTTTTGACAAACACCTTTCCAGGCTGTCTCAGAGGCTCTCGGTATGCACACAAATGTACACAGGACTGCGCACCCATACACATTCTCACGTGCCCAAACGCATCTGCTCAATCTCCACATAAGGAAGGCATCTCCCCTCAGAGTCAGGACGGGAGCCGGGGCTGATTCCAGTTCCACCCTTACTTGCTCTATGATCATAGGTAAGTTACAGAAGTTCCCCTAAGCCTCAGTATTCTCATAATAATACCTAAATCAGCCAGGCGCAGTGGCTCACACCTATAATCCCAGCACTTTCGGAGGCCACGGCAGGCAGATCACCTGAGGTCAGGAGTTCGAGACCAGCCTGGCCAACATGGTGAAACCCTGTCTCTGCTGAAAATACAAAAACATTAGTCAGGCATGGTGGCACATGCCTGTAATCCCAGCTACTCAGGAGGCCAAGGCAGAAGAATTGCTTGTACCTGGGAGGCGGAGGTTGCAGTGAGCCGAGATAGGACCATTGCACTCCAGCCTGGGCAAGAAGAGAGAAACTCTGTTTAAAACAAACAAACAAACAAAAAATACAAAAAAAACCCACCTAAATCACAGGATGCTCTGAACAGTAACACACAAAATGTGCTTCACAGACTGACAAGCACAGAGCACGTACTCAACAGATTTTATTAATATTATTCATAAGACCGCACCACACACAAGCTACTGTGTAAACCTGAACTTCTACTCAACAGTAAGTCAAGGCTGGCTTTCCATGTCAAAATATAAACCCACATCAATATTTAAACACATGCACAGATATCTGATGTATGCGAGGCCGCGCCATGTGTCTACATCGCCCTCCTGGAGCCCATTCTCTCCTGATGGGCCCTCGGATATCATCTCCAGCCTTTCAAACTGTCAGCAATGCTGCAGGAACAGCCATCTGACTCTCAGGGCTGAGCATCTCCCCAGGAGAAGTTCCTAAGAGTGGACTTTTTAGGTCAGGAGGAGTGCACATTCTGAATTTTCATCCATGTTGCCAAACTGCCCTCAGAGAAGTCAGAATGGCCCCTAGTCGCACCAACAGGATGTGGGAGTGTGACTCACACACAAACATTGTAAGGGAATGCGTTTCTCCTTGGTGATCAGGAACGTCTGCTCATTTGCCCTACTCAACTTCTCTAACTTCTCAGCGGGACACCTGCTTAGGGCACTCACCTTGTGATGGGCCATCATCCACTTAGCTTCCTAAGAGGCCCTCCTGTCCTCTTGGCCTAAGCAACCTGCGCTGCCCCAGCGGTCTCACGCTCCCTGCCACCTGTCTTTAGCACTCCCATTTCCAGACCCTGCCATGTGGTCCCTGGTTCTTCTGCCCCCGTGGGCCTGCAGGAGCGTTTCGGGCATTCTTGCCAAACTCATCCAGGAGCAGAGCAGCTTGCCACAGGACGGGGCTATCAACCCCAAGCCCCATAACCTCCACTCACCGGGGAGTGTCCTGGGCCCACATCAGGCATGAGGGATGTGTCTCTTTCAATTTTCTAATCAAGTATCTTTCAAAACTCCCCACAGGCACTTAACAAAAGCTGTAAAGGTGAACCATGTATGAACCAGGTATCCCGTCTCTTCTCCCTTCACAATTATTTTCTGCCTCACAAACATGTTCTGTGATAGACTTTAACTGTATCTCAACCTAAGATCAACGCAGCCAGATGAATGCTCTCCTTGCTCCATAACTGTCTTCCCGCTACACTTCTACACTCTACACTTACAAATCTGGAGATTTTATTTAACCAATTAAAAAGCCCAAAACCATTTATTTGAAAAAAAAAAAAAAAAGAGGATAAAATCAAGTAAAAACAAAACAAAACAAAACAAAAACACAAGGGGCTCTGTGCTCTGTGGGGTGCCTATCTTGTCCCTGATTGACCATCGCAGGTACCTGGATGTTGCTGGAGATGTCACCGGTCAGTGCCACATGCAAAACGACCAGGGGCTCCCCAGGAGTTGAACAGTGAGAAAAGAAGTAACATCTTCTGTAGGGCCCAACGCGGCGCTTCATGTCCATCCAGTTTTTTACAGGATGCACAGCCTCAGCCCTGGGGCGAAATTTATAAAGAGACAAGACAAATGCATAATTCACAACTTAAGTAATGGTTGCTGACTCCTATTCATACTATTCATCTAAGTCAAACAAGTTCTTTAAATAGAGCTTTAATGGACTCTTCTGGAAGAGTCAAGGAAAGTCATTTTCATGAGGAACAGCACCCACTGAGAGGAACTACAGTGAATGACCATTTTACACACAAAACGGTGCTCCAATTTTAACCCCAGTTTTAAGAGGAGTTTGAGAGGCTCCGGGGAAGGATTCATGCAGATTTTCAGGTGAAACCTAATCAAATGCTTGGTGTCGAACACTGTGTCTTCTCTTTCCTGGGGATCTCTGTGAAGCCCTGTCAGCGCTGCAAACACGGGCTCATCTGGTGTCTTCTAGCAACCTCATCCCACCGCTATTTTGTCTTCAGCACATGAAAAGGCAGCAGGCACTGTCAGCCCTTTGAATTGGTTACATTTCAAATAGGACACTTTTCAAACCTTGGATTCCATGGGACAACTTGTAATGTGAAGACACCTACGTGCAAAGAGTCCCGGGTTGTGAGGCCACCATGACATGCTAGCCTGTGTTATACTGGGTCCTGGAGGTAATGCACGATATAGTTTGTTTAGAGATTTTAACCCAGGGAAAAATCTTAACCACCAGGTGGGCCAAATGCTGTTTTGATTACGAATGCAAATGCTTGGTCCAGTGAGTTTCTACAACTCTGATCATGGAGTCTTGGGAAGAGAGAAAAGGGGCGTGTTTGCTTTAAATAAGAGGACATAAATAAGAACCCACATGCAGGTCCCTGACAGATGCATCGGTTTCTCTTGGTGCCCCTTCCTCGTCCTCCATGATCTTAGTATCATGTGTGGTGATGGCCTCAGCATTTGCAAATACTGTGTTTGGATTTTATTAGACTTGAAATAAACTGTACATGTGAATGAAGATAGATTGGCTTTTAGCCAATATAAAACATACATAAATATACATGAAACATATACGTACAAAGAAAATGAAAACTTTAATACTTACTCACTGATTTTCTGAAGCACTTCACACGGTGAATGCCAGGTGACCCGTTCTAGGTTCAGGAACCCGGAGGAAAACCATTCTGAGAGCATTCCTTTCAGCACGCCATTCATTTCCTGAAAAGAAGATAAAGCCCAGGCCTTCAATGGGCAACCGATCAAGCCCATCTCTGTGCTGTGGCCAGCACAGGGAATGAAAATGCTCAAGCAGACAACCGCGCAAGACGATTCTCCAAACAGCTTTTCCCGAGATTCCTCTGTGAGACTCTTATCTCAAACCGAGTCAGGCTTTCATTCAACACTCTATTTAGACTTAACTACTTCAGTCCATAAGACCCCTGAATGGAAACAATTCAATTTGAACTAAGTTGCCTAAATCAAATAGTACGTTCCAGTGTGTTCACCATAGTGAGGATACTAATTATATCAAATTAACATAACAACGAAAGATGCACTGTAAGGGAAAACTAAGACAGCAAGGGTGTCAGCAGCACTATCCTCATCCTCTTGGGAACCTTCTTTGATACGTCAAAACATTACTCCTACGTTTCCTAAGAAAAATAAGTACTTGGTCCAGGAGCCCTATTTTATCAACTCAGAGATGTACATTTTCATATTTTAACATCTCTCAAGTCAGGATGCAGCTTTTGAATGATGGCGGGTCACAGTCTAATTGGCAGCATTTTTTTTTTTTGAGAGACGGTGTCTCACTCTGTCACCCAGGCTGCAGTGCAATGGCATGAACACAGCTCACTACAGCCTTGACCTCCTGGGCTCATGTGATCCTCCTGTCTCAGCCCTCCAAGTAGCTGGGACCACAGGTGAATTCCACCACGCCCGGGTAAATTTTTTTTGGCATTCTTTTGTAGAAATGGGGTTTTGCCATATTGCCCAGGCTGATCTCGAGCTCCCGAGGTCAGGCAATCCACCTGCCTTGGTCTCTCAAAGTGCTGGGATTACAGGCATGAGCCACTGCGCCTCGCCATAACTGGCAGCATTTTTAATCTACCTTAGAGGGACACAATAGTATATCTGGCAACCAATGCATTTCAGAGGTGATGAAATTATCCTAATTTTGCTTCAATTATTTATATCTTTATTATATCTTATCTACTTCCAAAAATGATGTGAGTTGACTTGACCACCCAAGATATATTTGCACTGAAGCTTTTCCAGCAAGAGCAGAACACAAGGCCCTGAGCAGGAGCAGCGTCGTCTCGGTGTCGCCTGCACAGCCACGGCTTGTTGTTCTCCAATGGCTGTATCCTTCTCTTCCAAATTAACAGAAGCCTCACTTTTCAGCTAGGGACACAGCTGTCCAGAATAAAGACTGCCCTGTAGCTGGGGGTAGCCATGTGACAGAGTTCTGGCCAATGAGGGGTAAGCAGAGGTCTCCTGCAGCCACTTTGGGGAACTTGGAAAGACAGCAGGAGCAAGCCCTTGGCCCATCTTTCTTTGTCCTTTCCACTGCAGACTGGAAGGCGGTGTGATGGCTGGCATTGGAGCAGCCATCTTGGGCTGCTTTGGAGATGAAGGTTTTTCTGGGCAGAGCAACAAGATTCAAGTCTGGATCCACCAAGAGCACCAAACAGCAGAATCAGCTCTGGGCTGCCGACCTCCAGACTTTCACATGAGAGACAAACTTCTGTCATATTCAAATCACTGCTATTTTGGGTCTTTGTTACTCATAAACTACATATTAACAGATCCACTGAACAGTATTATTAAATAACAGTAAACATCTCAGGACATCTGATAAAAGAATGACCTTCTGACTCTCTCTATAAAGGTCATGAAGAACACAATGGGCAACACCTATAAAGAGTGGCTTTATAACAGCTATTTTATTTTATTTTATTTATTTATTTATTTTTTTAGAGACAGAGTCTTGCTCTGTCACCCAGGCTGGAGTGCAGTGGTGCAATCTCAGCTCACTGCAACCTCTGCCTCCCAGGTTCAAGTGATTCTCCTGCCTCAGCTTCCACATTTTATAAAATCATTTTACATTTTAATTCCTGTTAAAGGGTGAAAGGACTCAGAACTCTGTCACCTGGGGAAGAGTTGCACGTTTTGCAATGGTGGCTCAGACACGTTTTCGGAAGGACGTGAGATCTCCCTTTACATGTTTAAGCACCAGGGCATGAAAGAGGCCACAAATTTGTTCTGTGTGACCCCATGGGGGGTGGGAAAGTAAATCTAGATCGACTGGTGTAAGCGATGGACAGTCAGACATGGACTCAGTTTAGTGTAAAGAGGAACTTTTGAATAGCGGGAGCTGTCCACAGAGGTCATCCTGGGAGATGGTGACCCTCAGCACTGGAAGTCACCAAGCACAGGTGGACAGAACTCAGCGGAGCTGTTTGAAAACGGACTTAAGCACTGGATAGGTGGCTGAACCAGACGATCTTTGCAATTCCTTTTAACTTTACATTCCATCACTGAATCTCCTTTACTTGGTTGTAAACTCCATAAAGGCAGGGTCCACTCCTGATTCATTTCTACGGTTCGCAAAGCATTCACCAATAGATTGATATCAAATGAGAAAGATGGAAAAATGGAACGAACGGTGATTAGTACGTAGCAGGAGGGGAGGATGAGAGAGATTGTTTGCTATGTGTCACGGAATGGCCCTTAACTGTATTTTCTGCATTTGACTACAGCGGCTCTTAATCTTCTGGGATCCTCTCACACTCTTGAGTATGTGTTAAAAACCACAGGCCCTGACCCCAGAACATTGCAAACACATTAATAAAATTGTGCACATGTTTTCCTGGGGTTCACGGACTCCTCTGATACTTATCTATAGACTATCCCAGGGGCCAGGACTTCCGTACCCCAGGTTAGGAACAGATGAGCTGAGCTCTGTGTAAGAGGTACCGGCATCTCTCTTATATTCATGATAGGGAAAAAGCTGAAAATACCTAGTTTTACTATCAGTTCAATATTAATTATGAAAGAAATGGTTTGGCTGATGAAAGCTCCTCCCCTACAAATCTCTTCATTCTATTTTGGGCTCCTGACAGCTACAAAATGTGACACTGGTACATGAGAACTGGGAATCTAGGCTAAAGGTCAGAAGTCTGTTGCTCAGTTCTAACACCAGCAGCAGCTGTTCAGGCTGGGATGAGCCACAGCACGCCGCAAGGTTGCCGGGATACAAACACCACCAGGGAGAGAAGCCTCCGCGACTGTGCGTGCATTAATTCAGCCACCATTTATCACTAATACAAGACTGAGAAACACCAACTGCTGGGAATATCCTGGTGATGCTAAAGGTAGCGACAGTTCTCAGTATATTCTGCTGGAGTGCTTCTTATCAGTTCTCAGTGTATTCTGCTGGAGTGCTTCTTATTTTTCTTTTTCAGAGGCTGGTCTTGCTATGTTGCCCAGGCTGAACTCCCGGGCTCAGCTGAACCTCGCAAGTAGCAGGGACTACAGGCGCGTGCCACTGCATCCAGCTCTGTGTATTCTGTATTGTTAATTCCATTGACTTGTATGACACTGTTTAGACCAGCCAACTTTTCCTTTTAAAAGATAAAATGGTTCCCTCTCTTTTGAAGCTCTATCAAGATCTGCTTATTTTGGTATGGAAGAAAAGTCACCTTCCCTTGCCCAGAAGCCCGGCGTTGGGGAAGGGAGTGGAAAGCCATGGATGAGGGTAGCACTGCAGAGGCCGAGAAACTTGGGGACAATTCCCACTCACATAAGCTTCCACTCTGCAGGTGTCCACTTTATACTATGGATACACTTTCCTATCTCAAAATAAGTATCATTTAGCACAGCTAAGCACAGAATTTACTAGACCCAACAAAGAGTACTCTATTAACTAAAAGGCAGAGGATACACAGGGTCTAGCATGGCCGGGTGGCTGTGGCAGTGGGAACCAGGTCCCTCTCTAGTTTATGTGCCTCTGTTAAAGTTCAACCACCTCTCATTCCACCGAGGTCCAAATTGCCCATCAGGAACCTTTCCACGAATTAAAGGCCAACCTCCCTTGAGAGCCCACAAACTGCTGAACCATGCTCAGACCTTCCCCTCTACTGGGGATTCGACTCGGTTTCACTGGGATTTCACCTCCAAGAAACTGAAGTCATCAACCAGCTGGGTCTCTGGAGAAAAACAAAAAGCCTATAAACCACCACTCCCTAGACACATCACATCCTCATTCCCACACCTACCGTACAACCACAGGGACACACATACCTATAAACTCCTCCACGTTTTGTGGCCACAAATCCAGGCACGGTAACAAACCTCCAAACTCACTTGGACCAGAGGAAAAGAACAGTTTAAAAAGTAAGAACACAGCCGGGCACAGTGGTTCACACCTGTAATTCCAGCACTTTGGAAGGCCAAGACGGGCAGATCATCTGAGGTCAGGAGTTCGAGACCAGCCTGGCCAATATAGCAAAACTCCGTCTTTACTAAAAATACAAAAATTAGCCACGAGTGTTGGCAAGTGCCTATAATCCCAGCTACTCGGGAGACTGAGGTGGGAGAATCACTTGAACCAAGGAGGCAGATGTTGCAGTGAGCCGAGATTGTGCTGCTGTACTATAGCCTGGGCAACAGACCAAGACTCTGTCTCAAAAAAAAAAAAAATCAGATAAAAAAATAGATCACATAGGTTACAATATCAGATCCCAGGTGACAGTTTATATGTACAGAAAAATGTAACTCTATTCTCAGACTGATTTAAATGTTTAAATGTTTAAATGACAGGGATTTTAAAAAAATTACACTTGGGCTCACACCGATCTATAATCCCAGCACTTGGGACTGGAGGATTGCTTGCTTGAGGCCAGAAGTTCAAGACCAGCCTGGGAAACACAACAAGATCCCATCTCTAAAAAAAAACATAAACAACAAAACAAAAACCCATCTCTCTCTCTATATATATACACATACACATATATACACGTATATATGAGAAAACTACGCAGAACAAGGGAAGGGGAAGGGAAATAACAGGTTTGGCTACTAACAGTTATATGCACTGCATATAAGGCTGGGGTTTCTAGGTAAAGAAATGGAAGGGGCACAATAAAGCAATCACAAAAAGGCTCCTGCAGCAGCCATTATGTCCTAACCATATGCAGAGGCAAAGATCAGGCTGCCATTATTCATTCTGTTTGATATCTCTGGTCCACAGGACTTCTGGCCTAATATTATAGTATGCAATGTTTTTTTTTTCCCTTATGTATACAGACAGCCTTGGTCAAAAAGCAAGGACATGTGTGAATGTCTGAAGACTCCGCAGCCTCTGTATTTCCCAGGGGCCAGCTCCTTTCTTTCAACAGTCAAGTCTGGATGTGAGTGTGTTCAGTCGTGTTCCTTCCCAACGATGTGATAACCAAGAGTTTTCCTGAGTGGGGAAGAACAAAAGGATGTATTCCACAACATCTCACAGAACCAGAGAAATCAGAATTGGACTGGATGTGAGAAATCAACGAGGGACAAAGCTGGCCAAATGTCTGATATGAGGACCCTCCCAGCTGGGCAGAAACCTTTCCAGCCTTTTGTGGCTTCCTTCTAGGCTCAACAATCTATGACAGTGTGGGGCAGTCTCACCTCCACATAAATACTGAATGATTAGTGTGTCAAGTATGTCTCATGCCAGGGCACCCAGGAATCTACTGCAATGACTCATTCATCACTCTGCTATGCAAGAAATTTAAGACAAGTTTCCCAGTTTTCGAGGAGCTGATCATTTACTTGGGGGGATGATATATTGCCAAATACTATGTACAAGTGTGGATCAGAAAAGCTCAGCTATTCAGGCCCGGCTTGAGACCAGAACATGATAATTCAACACAGTAATAATTCTTGAGTGATTTCGTGTCATGAAATTAGCAACTGTGGGCTTTCTGTCTGAGAATCTTATGGCCAAAGATGCCTGGCCCTCAGTAACAGCACTGTAAATTAACCAGCTATCATGGGGAATCAAATTATGGCCACTGTTGTCACTCTTGACATTAATCCCATACTTAATTATGCCTGATTTTATGCATCTAAGTAGCCAAAAAAGGTAAGAAAATTTCTAATAAACATCTGATTAACTCACACAGTAAGACAGGATTAAAGCATAGGGCAAAGAGCCCTGGATTTGGGTGGGTGATCAGCAAGAGTTTTTTGCTCTGAATTTAAGGACAAGTCACACCACCTCAGCACCTTCTCCTTTACTGTAAAAGGGATATGTGTTATCACCCATGTAAGACTGAAGGAATGAAAATGAAACTATTAAACCAGTATTAGAGTTCTTAAATGGGTCCGGTCATAACCATTTAATCGTTCAATTTTTTTTTTTTTTAACACCAACTGCACATAACAAACTTCTCAATGTCCAAAACTTCCTGAAACATTTACATCATTTTTTATTAATTAAAAGCGCAGGTTAAGCCTGGGCAAAATGGTGAAACGCCCTCTCTACAAAAAAATACAAAAATTAGCCGGGCACGTGGCCTGCGCCTGTAGTCCCAGCTACTCAGGAGGCTAAGGTGGGAAGATTGCTTGAGCCTGGGGAAGTCGAGGCTGCAGTGAGCCGTGAAAACACCACTGTACTCCAGCCTGGGGAACAGAGTGAGACCCTATCTCAAAAAAAAAAAAAAAAAAAAAAAAAAAAAAAAAGAGGCAGGCTAGTGTTTCGCCGTATTTAATATTAACAGTATAAAAGGAGAGTATATATTGCTTTAGGCCTTCTTTCGGGTCATAATCATTTAAATCTCAAAGTCTGTATCTGCATCTAACACGAATGAACTGTGCTAATGCCTGATTACCTCAAGTCAACTCAGAATTATCACATTAAGTACTGAACTCAGGGTGTTAAATGCCCTCCCAAAAGTCATGGAGCACAGAGAAGGCCAGAAGCCACGGAGACTCCTGAGTGGTAGTGGTGGTGACCTTGAGTCCTATTTACCTTTGTGTATTTCACAGGACTTCTCAGGACAATGTCTCACACATAGCGGGTGCCCAATTAACCTCTGAAACACTATTCAGGGTCTCAGAAGGCTGCCTGATGCTCAGCCTGATGCTCAAGTTCAGGTATACCATATAGATGAAACACTTTAATCAGCTACAACAATTAAAAAAGAGACTGTAGAGCACACACTAATCAGGTACAGGAGGCGACAGTTACCTTCAAGGCCACCAAGTGCTGAGTATTTAGTAAACACTATACAAGTGGGGACTTCAAGGGCAGACTGGAGGGAGGCGGGGGTGTGCTCTGACGAGGCCAGGACTCAGCGTGGGAAGGGGAGAGTTGGCCAGCTGTAACTGCGGGCGAAGTGAGCGTGGTTTCAGGCAGGGAAGGCGGGGTGTGTGGGGCTTGGAGGGGGCAAATGAGGACTACTCGAGGAGAGCGGCCAGTCCGCGCTGCCGGGGGGTCGAGGGCGGCCCCTTACCCGGACGTCCGGCCCCTCCACCAGCTTAAGGGCCTGAGCCTCGAGCAGGTCGGCCCGCAGCTGCACCAGGAAGCGCACGCCGCCGTCCAGCTTGCTGATGTGGTGGAAGAGGCCGCGGTAGCGCGGCACCAGCGCGTAGCGCAGCCGGTCCTCGGCCTGCAGCAGCACCGCCGCCTCCCGCTGCTGCTGGCGAAGCTGGAGCACGCCGGCGCTCTGCTCAGCCACCTGGCCGTGGTCCACGCCGAAGCCCCGCGCCAGGCGGCCCAGCAGCTCGGCCCGCTCGGCTGTCTCGGCCAGCCCGCCGTAGAAGCTCACGAAGTCCGCGCACTGACCCTCGGCGGGCGCCGGTGTTTTCTCGCGCAGCTCGTAGGCCGGTGTCGGCGGCACCGCGCGGCGCAGCAGCTCGTCCATGGCCCGCTCCAGGGCGCCAGTCGCCTGCCCGCTAGCCAGCCGGGGCCCGGGCGGCCGCGGGGGAAACCGCAGCGGGAGGAGACGCCTGGCCGTCAAGCCTGGCCCGAGGCCTCGCATGGTGCCGAAAACAGCTGCAGAGGGGGAGCGCAGCCGCCGCTGCCGCGCTTCCGGCTTCCGGCTTCCGGCGCACGCTGGCCCCATTGGCCGAGGCCGGGGGCCGGGATGGGGAGGCGGCCAATCGGAGGGCGGGGCGGCGGGGCGAGGCGGCGGGGGCGGAGCGGCTCTGGCGGAGGCCCGAGGCCAAGTGTGGCCAAAGGTTACCGCCCTGCGGCGGGGGTGCCTCGGGGCCTCCTCCGGCTCAGCTGGCTGCTTGTCCTCCGGTCCTAACACCTGGCCGCCTAAAGGCACCGGCCCAGCCCCTCCTCTCTTCCCCGACCGCACTGCACAAGTGCCGCCTCCTCTCTAGATCTGAGCGCCTCCAGCCTCCAGGTGCATCAGAGTCACCTGGGAACTCCTGCACTCGAGGATTCCTGGGCTCCGAAATCAGAATCCTAGAGATTCAGATTCAGTGTTTGGCAGGAGCCAAAGAATCTGCGTGCTTAAAGGTGTTTGTGGCCATCCTGTGGCCTTTGTTTGACCCCTGCCTAGGCACTCGGCATTCGCGTCAGGGTCTTCTTACACAGATGTCTCCCAGAGCCACAGAGGTTGGAGGGGTGTGTGTGTGTGTGGAGAGAGAGAATATGTCTATATGTAGGCATGTATGTACACATACGTACGCAAATACACATACATATGTATGTAAGAGAGACATAGACTGATGGAAAGCCATGTCCTTGAGCAAATGCCAGGATGACACAAAGAGTTTTCTTTGAAATAGTTTTCAGATAATTGCAGTTACCAAGAGAGATTTATTTTGTCCTCTAGAAAGTTAGGCCTGAACTCTCCTCCTTCCCCAATCCATTACAATTTGTAGAAGAGAATATCACATACCATGTCTCCCACATGCAAAATTGCCGGAGGCATTAGGAAAACAATGGGATTTTGTTCCACTCAGATGGAAATATAGCATCTTTGGTTGGAGGGTGAGGGAGCCATGTACTTGGTTGACTGCATCTAGGTGCTAGGATTCTATAGGTAGAACCCTCTGGTGCAGGTCTTGCAGGATAAAGACACTGGGAGGTAGTTCTGTATGAGGACAGCTTTTGCTAGGTGTGTCTCATCTTATGGGGCACGAAGAAACTATGTTTGGCTCATTCTGCCAAGACAGACACATAAAACAATCTGAAGGCCTAGTGGTGGCTGTTGAGCACACCTCTCCGTTCCTCTTTTCTAAGAAGTGGTGAAACCATATTGCCTGCTGGTTGAGGGAGTCGGTCTGGTCGAAACTCTGGTGTTTGTTTTCCTTGTCGAGTGAGCTCTTGTCTATCATAGGATACTGCTGCCTTGCTTTAGGAATCTTGTCTTGAAAGCTTGACTTTGCTTAAGCATTTGCTAAGTGTCGTACCCCCACAACCCTGTTTCTTTCTCAACTTTCCCAGTGCCTTCCTTTTAATGTAATTTCTGGCTTCTGTTTTTTTTCCTCTGTGTTTATACTTGTTTTTCTCTAGGTGTCAACAGCCATCCTCTGCTTTTTCCCCACTCAGGTCCTTGTTTCAAAAGACTGCTGTAATCCAAAAATGAAATTAAGAAAACAATTCTATTTACAAGAACATCTAAAAGGATAAAAGAAACGTGTTTAACCAAGGAAGTGTGAGACTGGTAGATGGAAAACCATAGAACAGTATTGAAGGAAATTAAACAAGACCTGAACAAATGGAATGGTCCATGCATGGTTCATGGACTGGAAGATGTACTATTGTTAATATAGCTAATATGGTTTGGATCTGTGTCCCAACCAAATCTCATGTTTGATTGTCAGCCCAGTGTTCGAAGTGGGGCCTGGTAAGAAGTGACTGGATCATAGGGGTAGAGTTCTCATGAATGGGTTAGCACCATCCCCCCCTTGGTGCTGTATAGCAAGTTTTCAGGATATCCGGTTGTTTAAAAGTGTGCATCACCACCCCCTCTCTTTCTCATGCTCTGGCTATGTGAAGCTCCTCAGTCCCCCTTTGCCTTCCACCATGAATGGAAGCCTCCTGAGGCCTCCCCAGAAGCAGAAGCCACTATGTCTCCTGTACAGCTTGTGCAACCCTGATCCAATTAAAGCTCTTTTCTTTCTGAATTACCCAGTCTCAAGTATTTCTTTACAGCAGCGTGAGAACAGACTAATACAATCGCAAAACTCCCCAACTTAACCTACAGATCTAATACAATCCCTATTAAAATTTCAACTGCCCTTTTTTTTTTTTTTTGGCAGAAATAGAAAAACGTATTCTAATATTTATACAGAAATGCTAGGGGCCCTGAGTGGCCAAAACAATCTTTAAAAAGAAGAACAAACTTACTACAAAGCCACAGTAATCAAAATAATGTGGTACTGGCAGAAAGATAAAACACAAAAATCAATAGAATAAAATTGAACATCCAGAAATAAATCCATACATCTATGGTCAATTGATTTTTTTTTTTTTTTTTTTTTTTTTTAAAGACAGAGGCTCACTCTGTCACTCAGGCTGGAGTGCAATGGCATGGTCTCGGCTCACTGCAACCTCCTCCTCCCAGGTTCAAGTGATTCTCCTGCCTCAGCCTCCTGAGTAGCTGGGACTACAGGTGTGTGCCACCATACCCGGCTAATTTTTGTATTTTTAGGAGAGACAGGGTTTCACTATGTTGGCTAGGCTGGTCTCGAACTCCTAACCTCATGATCCGCCTGCCTTGGCCTCCCAAAGTGCTGGGATTACAGGCGTGAGCCACTGTGCCAGCTTGGTCAATTGATTTTTGACAAGGGTTCTAAGACCATTCAGTGGGTAAAAGAGAGTATTTTCAACAAATGGGATGGGGACAACTAGACATCTACAAGCAAAATAACAAACATAGACCCCTACCTACCTCACAGCATATATAAGAATTAACTCAAAATGGATCAAAGACCTACATGTAAGAGCTAAGACTATAAAATCCTTAGAAGGGAAAATAGGTGTAAATCTTCATGACTTTGCAATAAGTGATTATTTCTTAAATATGACATCACAAGCGCAAACAGCAAAAGAAAAATAGATAACTTGGACTTCATCAAAATGAGAAACTTTTATGCATTGAAGGACACCATCAATAAAGTAAAAAGATGAGCCACAGAGTGGGAGAAGTATTTACAAATCATATATCTGATAAGGGTCTGTATCTGGATTATATAAAGAATTCCGGCCGGGCGCAGTGGCTCACACCTGTAATCCCAGCACTTTGGTAGGCTGAGGCAGGTGAATCACGAGGTCAGGAGATCGAGACCATCCTGGCTAACATGGTGAAACCCCATCTCCACTAAAAATACGAAAAATTAGCCAGGCGCGGTGACTCACGCCTGTTATCTCAGCAGTTTGGGAGGCCAAGGCGGGCAGATCATGAGGTCAGGAGTTGAAGACCAGCCTGGCCAAGATGGTGAAATCCCGTCTTTACTAAAAATACAAAAATTTGCCGGGCGTGGTGGCAGGTGCCTGTGATCCCAGGTACTCAGGAGGCTGAGGCAGAGAATTACTTGAACCCGGGAGGTGGAGGTTGCAGTGAGCTGAGATTGTGCCACTGCACTCCAGTCTGGGCAACAGAGCGAGACTCTGTCTCAAAAGAAAACAAACAAACAAACAAAACAAAACAGAACTACCTCAGAGGCATTAGCATTTCTCTACCAGTTTCAAAGACTCAGTAGAGAGAATCTGATTGGTTCAGTTTGGATCAGGGCTAGACTGGGATACAGGGTAGCATGGAGCCCTCAGAGGTGTTAGGGATTTAGCCTTTTGGGTAGGGACACAGTGTTCATATAAGAGGGGTGTGGGTTAGGCAGTTGTCCCAAAAGATGTCTACTTTAAGTATAAAAAAAAAATTAGGCTGGGTGCGGTGGCTCACGTCTATAATCTCAGCACTTTGGGAGGCTGAGATGGGTGGATCACCTGAGGTCAGAAGTTCGAGACCAGCCTGGCCAATATGGTGAAACTCCATCTCTACTAAAAATACAAAAAATTAGCCGGGTGTGGTGGTGCAAGCCTGTAATCCCAGCTACTCGGGAGGCTGAGGCAGGAGAATCACTTGAACCTGGGAGGTGAAGGCTAGAGTGAGCCCAGATTGCACTATTGCACTCCAGCCTGGGCAACAAGAGTGAAACTCTGCCTCAAAAAAAATAAAAAATAAAAATAAAAATAAATAAAATAAAATAAATAAAAATAAAGAACTTGGAAAAAAGAAAAAATAAATAATCACCCATAATCCTAGCATCTTAATCACTGGAGCTTTTATTTCTGCAAATCCTTTCAGTATTTGTCCACAGGCCAACATATATTTTAGAGTTGTAATCACTGTGTTTGTGCTGTTGATTTTGTTTTTTTTCACTTGCCATCATATCACAAACACTTCCCACGTTTCTAAATCACCTTCATAATTATCCTTTTTAATGGCTGCATAACATTCAATTGAGTGTATGTACCATAATTGTTGTAATCACTTTCCCATTTCTGGATATTTACATAATTTCTAATTATTTTTTTGCTATTATATATATACATCTCGTACTGTAGGAAATACTTTCGTGCATACTGATGTTTTTTTCTTTACTTGAATTGCCCACATTACTTAAAAAGACCAAATAGGATAAAATTTCCCATGAAATGTCAAGCTAACCAAGCAGCCTAGAAAGAAGAGAGACTCATAAACTCACCAGGGATTGGAAATGCAGCCACAATTCCAGGAGACCCCCTTCCCACCAGGGAAGCCCCTGTTCTCTCACCCCTGCTGTTTCTGCCTCTTTCCCTCACCGACAGTGCACTGACATTGTCTGCAGTATGAATGTGCTGCTGTAGATTTATATTTTCATTGGTGTGGTATCTGGGTTGGTTTGCCTATGCTGTTGCAATGCTACTATGAACATCCATGGACATGACTCCTGGTCCTGAGGCACATGTGTAAGGGTCTTTCTAGACCAGTTTCTCAACCTTGACGTGATATTTGGGGTTGGATCCTTCTTTGTTATGGGGGCTGTCTGTGCAATGTGGATGCTCAGCAGCACTTCTGACCTTGAGCCTCTAGAAGC